AGCAAATGATCCCATGAGGTGGGCACCCATGGACTTATCCCAACATTAACTGGACCCAGGCAGGACTGGGTTCTGTTCTAGGCTCTGAAGTAGATAGACCTGTTGAATTGGTGGAGTAGCGGGAGGTTCATCTTCTGGAAGAATCCTGGGATTCTGCTCTGTGGGATACCACAGTGGGCTTGACTGCTCTTTATGGAAGGTCTGTGGATACTGTGTGTGTGTATGTGGTGTAGTCTCCTTGCTCTTTCATCAGCTGCTTGGATGAAAGCAGCCATTTGGAGCTTTCATCCTGTTTGGAGGTACTGGACCTCCAAATATTTAGACCTCATCGCTTCATCATCTTCCCGAGGGAAGAGAGTAAAATTTCCCCCATTATCCACATCAAGAAACCAAAGCTGAGGTCAAGCTGAACATCTAGACAGGACAAGGAGCTCCAGTCCTGCAGGAACCCATGGTGTCTAGAGTTAGAGTCTGCCTGTCTCCTCCTCCTACAGGAGGACCCAAGGGTCTGGTAAGGTTAGCCCACCCCCACCCCCACTCATGCTGCCAGGCCCTTAGGGGTATGTACTGTGCTCTTGTCCCATTAGCAAATGTGAGGGTGGGCTGTCATGGAAAGGGCGGTAGCCAGAACCAATCCCAGAGCGGAAAGAGATACATGCGGAACACCTTAGAAGAGAGGAGCGAAAACAGATGTTCGCCAAGGAGTGCCTGATTGTGGGACAGGTAGTTCCAGGGAGCAGGCACACTGCCCCTCCTAGAGCCCAGTCTCCACAGGACCCCTCCCCTTCCCTGCAGCGTGCAGGCGTGTCAATGCCCGTCTCCCCAGTAGTCTCTGACCGTGGGGACTCATGTCAAGCCCATTTTGGGTCTGTGATGGATAGAGGCAGGATCCGCAGGCAGGGTGTTGACTCATGACTGGTGAGACCTAGTGCCTGGTTCCTAGCAGGGGATTCAGTGATCACCTTTGCCTTGCGCTTATGGAGGTTCGGGGTGGAGATCTCCCTATGCCCGGACTCGCCCCTCCTGCATAGTGGTATAGGTCGGCCTCTTCCCACTGCCAGCTGTCCAGACTATCCTTGGCCTCAGGGACATCTGAGCACCAGAGTTAAGAGATTCTCATTAGCCACATACTTGTGTCATATACTTACAGCTTTCCCACTCAGTAACTGGCCCAGGCCACTGGCTGCCGTGCAGAATCCTACTGACCATGTGCCTATATATAACACTGTTTCTCAGGGCTCTGGGAGCTCAGAAGTCCAAGGTTAAGATGCCCGAAGATTTGGTGTTCAGTAAAGGCCCGTTTCCTGGTATATAAATGGTTGTCTTTTTATAAAAACACCAGCTGGCTAGAGACTGGGGCCTATTCTGGGGTCTTCCGGTTAGGGCTCTAATTCCTACCCATGATATGTTATGGGTTTGGTTTTTTTTAGGGTAAAAGTCTGTGATCCGTCAGCCCCAATAAGCTAGGCTCACCCACCTCACTGCTAATGCCTATTAGAAAGAGTAATAGGGGATGGGAGTACAGAAAAAAAAAATAGATTTATTCAATATGGCCACACTGGGGAAGAGGAACAAAAGAAGGGATCCAGTGACCCCCAAGTCCATCTTCAAGGGCACTGACGGGTTTGTTTTTAAATAAAGGGCAGGGGAGTTTGTAACTAGTCCTCCTCAAGGTGTGGTACTGCACATCCGTAGCCCGTCTGGGTCTCAGAAACATCCTGCTAGGTGGGCCGACAGGTTGTCGGATCTGCAGGAAGTCCTTCCCTGGCAGGCAAGTTCTGGCTGGCACCGGGGCTTCCGCTTATCCCTTCCCGTAGAAAGGAATTCAAGCAGAAAATGATAATTCTTTGTGGTCCACTACCTCATAGTCTGATTGCTGGAAGGGAGGGGCATAAGCGTTTCTCTGTAGAATATCTCCCTGCTAGCCAGGACAGACAGTTCCTTGGGCGGTGTTGGCTTGTTTCTTTGGTTTTTTTTTTTTTTTTTTTTTTTTGTTTGTTTTTGTTTTTTTTGAGACAGGTTTCTCTCTGTAGCCCTGGTTGTCCCGGAAGTTGGGATGCAGACCAGGCTGTCCTTGAACTCACAGAGATCTACTTGTCTCTGCCTCCCTGGGTTGAGCGCTGGCCGGGGTTAACCACCAGGGGAGTTTACAGGGGCCTTCAGATGCTAATCACCTCTAAGACTCTGCCTCTTAATAACCTTTTCACAATGGTGATTAGGCCTCAACATATGAATGGGCTAAGTGTATGTGTGGGTGGGAAGGGTCCGTACATTTGCTCTCGGGAATGATTGGTCCTTTCTCAGTCACCGTGTGCCTCAGTTTCATCACCTGTAAAGTAATAATACTGGGACGGTGCTTCCACCAGACAGAGTGAAAAAGAGCTAAGCCCGGGGCTCCACCCACAGGAAGCATTCAGTAATTGGCAGGTGTGATAAGTACTGTTGTCAGGAGGGCAGAGGCATCCAGAGATAGGATGTTAGCAAGCTCGCGGTTCCTAGGAAGCTTTTCAAGTTCTGAGCAGGGAAGGATAATGTGTTTGTATTTCTAAACCACAAGTTGATCCATATCTTTCCTCTTTGGCCCTAACCTGGGCTCTCAGCCCTGGCTGTGCTGGTCAGATGTTACAACAGGCCCGACAGCCACTGGCTGAGAGAGAACTGGGTAGTGCTCACCCCACCCCTATGTGCCACCCTGAGGCACTTGACTGTACCGGCTGGCTTGGCCGATATTCCAAGAGCCTTTTCTCCAGGTGTTACCTGTGTGTTCTCCAAGGCTCCTGCCTGATGTGTGGATGGCAGCACATGAACTCCTTCCGCAACAGAGCCATGCCAGAGACCAAGTCTCCTCCGGGGAGTGTAGGCCTGGTGTCCTGTGTCCTTGGCACCACAGTGGGGGAAAGAGGCCAGGAGTGAGGTGCGTGCACGCTGGAGGCAACCGTCTGTTGCTAGGATTCTCTATGCTACGGTCCTGCTCTCTCCTCTGAGGTCGGGCTGAGCGGGGCACAGGGAAGAGGGAGAGAGGGAAGCAGGAGTCAGCCTCTCAGTCCACCCTGCCTATCTCTGTCAGCCCGTCCTGCGGGGCATCATCCAACCTGCTGCAGTGGAACGTTGTGTAGCAGCAGCGGGAAATGCACACATGTTAGATCCTGAGCCCGAGAGGTGCCCCAGTGTAGACCTGTCCTGAGGGCGGGACCTTTTCTCTAGTGGATCTTTCTGAGGGCGGGCTCGGTTAACTTCATCAGGGGTGGAGCCATTGCCTTCTTGACGCATCTTGCTTGGGGGCCCTTGCCTTTCTTGAGGCCCCAGTTCAGCTTCCAAGGGTGAAGGGGACCCCAGGGTATTCTAAACCTATTCCCTGTAAAGAAAGGACAAGACTTGGTCAATAGCTACTCTGAGATGCATACACCTTGATTCAAACCAAATTTGATACCAGTTGATTTCCGATAATATTCTAATATTCATATTTCATTGTAGCTCAACAGTTTAAAATTAACGCTTAGGGCCACGGTTTTGGCACGTAAAGGTATTTTATGAGAAGACAGTAATTCAAATGCACACTTGTGGATCAGTAAAAAGTAGTTCAGGGTGTTGATTCTAGAGTCAATGCTACATTTTATTCCAGCTTGGGTTAGTTCAAACACACAGCAGCCAAACTCCCCCTTCCCTCCACACAGCACAAAACTTCCTGTAGCCAACATCAGGCAAAGTACCTAGGCTCTGGGGTGACTGATTCGTGGGGAAGCCATTTTTGCATCACTTCAAGGGCTTCCTGGCTGGCCGCACGAGGCAGGGTTTTGTTTGTAACGTCCAGAGGAAACACACCCCACTTAGAAAAGACAGAGAGAGGAGAAAGGAGAGACATCAAACAACCAAGAGGCATGAAACACATGTTTTGAGCGGGTCACTGGGAGAATTTGTGATCAGCTGCCGAAGCATCTATAATACACCAGACTGGGGCCTGCGCCCTTCTCCAGGACGGCTGAGAGCATGGAGGTCTGAGTTGCACCCAGACAGGACATAGACCTTTGTGGGGCTAGCAGGTCTTTCCCTTCTTTTCCACTCCCCGTTTGGGAAGGAGACAGCCAGGTGGTCACCGCCCCTCCCCCAAGCTAGGTAGCGGACCCCTGGCCCGGTTTCATATTTTGTCTCTGCGTGCCAAGCTGCTGAGAGCGATCTCTCCCCCAAAGCCCCTCTCCTGTAATCTTAAAGCCACAGAAAGTTCTCAGGACTAAGCCAGGATAACCAGCGGCTCAACAGCCGCTCAGCAGATCATCCAGGTCCCGGCATGGCGCCGCGGGGAGGTCGCGGCTCGCAGGGGCCCCGAGCTGCTTGGAGGGAAGGCGGCGGGCGTGCAACCGCCCCTGAGGCCGAGCCCGGAGCCCCGAGCGCCCCGGCGATCTCTCCGGGAGCCCCGGCGCCCGCGGCGTCCCACCTGAAGCCACACCCTGCTGTCCAACAACTCCGCTCCAGGTGAAGCGGGCGGCCCCTCCTTGCCGTGCCCGCGCCGAAGTCCCTCCCGCAGAGGGCGGGCCGGGCTCCCGCGGCCTCTCCGGGGCTCTCCGCGGCTTCCCGCTCGGCAGGTGGGTGCCCCGGGGCCCCGCGGAGGGGCCGGGGGATCCCCCGGGATCCGAGCGGGGATCGCGACTCCCTCGGGGGACGAGGCTGCTCCTGCGCGCACGGCCCCTCCCCCGGATTCGCAATCCCCGAAGTTCGGGGTTGGCCCTGGCCTCGGGACCTCGGGGGCCCTTGGGCTCGGCGGGCCACCTCGGCGTGAGCGCCGCACGGGGACCGAGCGCGCGGGGGACGCGGCGGGGGGCGACCTCGAAAGCGGCGCGGCGCTCCCCCTCCCCCACCCTCTCTCCAGCTCCTCGGTCTGCGGCTCAGCAGGCACCCGAGTTGGCTCTGTCGCTAGGCGGGCGGGGTGCGGTTCCCGACGTCCTGGCCTCCAGCCAGCCGCAGGATCTGCGGGGACACTTAATTCACAGTGTGCTTCTCCCTAGGCCCGGCAGAGGACTGGCTTTGGAAGGTCCTGGGGATCTTGCCTCTCCTCCATGCTCTAGACAGCTGACCGCAGAAGGGTGAAAGGAGAGGCGAGAAGGCCACAGGAGGTGAGTGAGGAGCCTGCTGCTCCAGGAGCTAGGTTGGGAGGGACAGTGGGAGAGCAGGGGGCCCTCCTGAGCTGGATTCCTCGTTAGACAGTGGCGGTGGCCCGGTGGAGGTGCCATTTTCTCAATCGTGGAGTGTGCCTGATAAGTCATTTGCAACCCCTTCCAGCACATGGTAGGCCAGCAGGGCTTCAAATGGCCCGCCCAGCCTCCGGCCCAGCCTCCGATGTCACCAGGTTTGATAACCGGCTGGACAAGGCAGTGTCTGACAGCCCGGGTTCACGGAATGCATGCAAGACGCCCCGGGATGAGAAAGACAGGAGCGAACTCAAGTTTGTGCTGATCGATGCAGGAAGGCGGGCTCCAGCTTTTCCCACACTCAGAGAGTAGCTTCTCCGTGGGGTCAGCTGCCAGGATCACCAGGGGCTTAGACACAAGAGTTTCTGGGATGCTAGCTATAGCTCTATGCTCTGTATGTTTGCCACGTTCTAGTACTTTTTAGGTTCTTTTGGCTTTTTTCTGTGTGAAGGTGGGGAGGGGTCCCCAGGCATATGGGACAGTGGGCTGAGAACACAACCTTTGGAACCAAATGGTTGTGGGTTCACACACCCCCCCCACACACACACACTCTGCTGTTGAGTCCTTAGACAAGTTGCTTTACCTCCTCTCTAAAAATTTTAATGTCTGTGAAGTGGAGTTCGGTGTAAAATGGTGATGATAAAGCTGTCCTCATCGAAGAGATGAAATGTGAAGCTGGAATGGTTAATGTTTAACAACCCAGGAGGCCACCTCACCGGCCTTCAGCCGGAAGGCTTTAAGCTACCTTGAGCTGGGGGCTTTGGAGAACACAGTGCAAGATATTTTTTTTGAGACAAATGATGGGCCTAAAACCAAGGCAGAGGGAGGGTCTGAGGAAGGTAAATAATAGGAGACCCTAACTCACCACCTCTAGTCCCGCTTCACAGACAGGGACAGCAGCAGCGTCTGTGCGCGTCATACCCATTCTCACATGCTCACCGCCTGACCCGAGCAGACCCTTACCTTGGGTGTTTCTGGGACACCAGGCACCGTTGGCTTGTGGCTTCTGTGTCCATCTCTGCTCTAAGCAGCGGGGCGGCAGGGCAGGCTGTTTGATGTCTCTGGGCACTCCTCATGGCAGGCGAGCTTGGAGGCCGCGGGACTTTGGATCCCACCTCTCCAGGTGCAGTCAAGCAGGACAGCCTTCCTAAGAACCTCAGTTTCTCCAGTTTCCACTTGTCACATGGAGCCGGAAAGAGTTACCCAAACCACTCAGTGCAAGAATCAAAAGCACCTCGGACCGCATATGGCTCATGGCAGGCATCATCTGTCTTTAATCTCAGCAACTGAGGGAGAGAGGCAGGAGGATCTCTGTGAGTTCAAGACCAGCCTGGTCTACATAGTGAGATCTAGGACAATCAGGAGAAAGAAAGAAAGAAAGAAAGAAAGAAAGAAAGAAAGAAAGAAAGAAAGAAAGAAAGAAAGAAAGAAAGAAAGAAAGAAAGAAAGCTAGGAAAGAAGGTTCCACCTACCTCACAGTGGTTTTGTGAGCATAAAGCAAGCAGGTAAACAAAACAGATCTGGAAAGTTAAGGGCTATGGAAATGTAAAGCAGTCTTGTGGTTGGGGAACCGCTGAGGTTCTTGTAGAAAGGTCCTGAGTACCAGGGCTCTGTCGGTTGAAATCTGCCAATATAAAGGGCCCTGGCCTGTAGCATCCTGAAAGAGCGCCATTCTCCATCCTTAGAGTTAGCGCCCAGGCCAGCTCAGTGCTGTGCACCAGAAGCAGAATGGGAAAAGACTGGGATTCTAGCATGCAGAGGTCAGAGGGCCGGGCTGGAGTAAGAGGCTGCTGGACCACAGCACTGTTAGAATGGTTTGGAACTGGGCCCAGACAAGGCCCAAGTCAATAGTGTCTGTCCTCAGCTGGCCAGCCTGCTCTTCAGCCTCTCATTCAGCGGTAATGTTGACATAAGCTGCTGAATGAGTTCCATCGTATTCTTTTAAACAACACATTATCTCTCTCCTGGGAGTCTCTGGGGCCTGCAGTGTGGGAATGGTAGGAGGATTCAGACTTACTTCATCTCCCTGGGTCACACAAATGGGATGACAGAACCTCTGTGTCCCGCTCAACGTCCTGGGGCCTTCTACACCTCAACAATGTGGCTCTAGGCAGCTCTTCAAAGCCAGCAGGCCACAGAGCAAAGGGCCGTGGCCCAGGTTTCAGGTCTCACCCTGAAGGTAGCAACTGAGCAAAAAGCAGGTGAAACTTCCTCCTGGTATGGTTTGGGGCATCAGAATAGGGAGCTGGGGTACCACCTCTTCTGACTATCAGGGCATGTGAAGAGAAGCAAATGGCAAGGGCTGGACACTTGCGAAGGATGAGCAATGAGAGGACCCGACAGGCCTTGGGCAGGAACAGGAACTCCCTGTTGCTGAACATATTTAAGCAGAATGCAGCTAGACTCCTCTTGGGAATGCCACGGGGATGGACATCTGGGCAGAGGCAGAAGAGCAGGTCAGAGGCTCCGTGGCGTGAGCCTCTCTTCCGCTGCGGCAGGCTAACCCCGTAGCCACATCTGCTTGGAAGAGGCCAGCTTACCTCTCCCAGAGGTGAAGTCTTGTTCACCATGGCGTACAAGGGCCAAGAATGGAGGCAGTGTGTAATGATACAATCTGATATATAAGCCAACTCCAGAGATCAGAGGCTGAGAAAAAGCTCCCGCCCAGTGAGACAGTTGAAACCAATCAGGAGCTGATAAGGACCGCCGCTCCTAGAGCAGTGGGATGATGGGCCCAAGGTGAGTTTCAAGGATTTGGGCCTCAATAATGGCAATAATGGACACACTTGTCAGCTCTGGACAATCCAGAGAGGTTGCCTCCATCTCGCAGCATGATTTCTAAGTAGGTCCTTCTTCAAGAAATCTTGGGAAATACCCCAACTTTGCCTTGGGGTCTAAAGTGGGCTCTTTCTCTCTCCTTGCTGTTATACTCGGGCAACTTAGTTTTTTGTGGCCATCTCCTTCTTTTCACCTCCACAGCAGAGAGTAAACTGCTCCTCCCAGACCTCTGGATAGCGCTCATGAAGGTGACATGCTGGTTCTTCAACCAGACTCTCCCTGAGGGATTTTTATTAGAGCCATCCTGACAGCTCCCTGAGTGAGAACAGCCTGCTCCTCTCCTCCCGCCGTGCCTGAAGAAGCTAGCTGAGGGAAATGAATTCCTTCTCTTGTCAGCAGCACGTGCACACAGTAGGTCAAGGCCACGGGTCCCAAGGGCCTGCTGAGCTTTCCAGCCCTAGACCTCGCTCTGATAAGCATGCCCTGAGCCTTCTCGGGAGGAGGCTGCTACATTACTCGCCACTATGTCCCTGGCACCTAAGCTGGGTGTCCTTCACTGTTCTGTCAACCTGATACCCGGAAAAGGTAGGGATCCCACCAGCCTCACCCCAGTATCCCAGAATGCACTTGTGTTGGTAACTTAATCTGCACACCTCTCTCCATTCACGTTTTGTTTTTGTTTTTTATTTTTTCAAGACAAGGTTTCTCTGTAGCCCTGGCTCTCCTGGACTCACTTTGTAGAACAGGCTGGCCTCAAACTCACAGCGATCCACTTCCCTCTGCCTCCCTGGGTGCTGGGATTGAACACGTGCGGCGCCACACCCGGTTTCCATTCACTTTTTTCTCAGCCTGCGGTCCATTCTCTAAATCCTTTTAGTGACTCCTTGAAAGGCATTCAAGGTGCAGAGACCTGAAGCCATCCAGAGCCAGGTGTGACAGGGTAAGGTGGGTGAGCACCCCGGACGCTCACTTCCGGTGAAAAGCAGGGTGACAGGTTAGAAGAACAAGTGACGGTGATCCGAGGTAGGACCCAAAGGTGGTTCCCAAATAGCAGAGCACGCTTGCAACAGATGTCCACCCGAACGTCTCTGCTATAAGGTTTGTCAGTCTTAGGCCTCTCTGGCTCTGTCCTGGGTCTGTGAGGAGCTGGCGTGGCAGGCGGTTGTCTTCTCTCCTCCAGGAGCAGCAGTGGGCACTTGAACTGTTCTTCCTTGTCCCCGTGGATTGGTGGCCTCAAACGTAGAAGGCTGCTCACTGCCCTGTGAACCAAGTCCATGGTTACCTCTCTCCCCAGGGCCTTGTTTTTCATATATGCTAGACCCGGTCATCACAGACCCAAGTGCAATCTTTTAAAAACATTTTGTGGGTGCGGTGGCACACACCTGTAATCCCAGTACTCGGGGAGGCAGAGGCAGGCCTAGTCTACAGAGCCAGTCCAGGACAGCCAAGGCTACACAGAGAAACCCTGTCTTGAAAAATCCAAAAACAAACAACAAAAAAACAAACCAAAACAAAACAAAAAAATCCAAAACATCTTGCCCACCCCTCACAGTGTATAAGAAATACTGGTTCCATATAAGGTAAGGGTCATCCTACGAGTCAGGCTGGCCCTGCTTTCCTTAGACAAGCCCCAGGTCAGGTGGAGGGAGAAGCCCCTGTCCCTCCCACTTTCAACTTCCGTGAGTTTTCACTAGGCCATAAGCTGAACCCTGTTCCATGCCAAGAAGAAGACTGTTAGCAGAGCATTGCTCACAGGGCATAGGTGGGCATAGGGATAGAGCAGGTCCCATGGAATCTGATCTTGGTTTAGTGTCCCCTCCCCCCCATGCATAGTCATTTCCTGTTTCTGTGAGCCTTACCTAGATGATGAATAATGATAATTCCTTCCTTGCAGATCTACTAGCCTTCAGAATGGGCCTAACAATTCCTGCTTTTTCTGATTCTGTTTCTTCCAGTGGTCCCAGGCCTGTGGCTCCCTGAACTGACACTAGCTATGTGTTTCCTAGCTATGTGTGGCACTTCGTCCAGAAAGCTTCTGCTAGGGACTGCCGCATTCCTATCTGCCAGGCTCCCTGCCAGGGGAGCCTCCTTCTCTAACTGGTCTTGGCTGGAGTCCTTCCTCCCAACAGTGGGCACCCCGCTCTGATCCAGTCATGGGTCAGAGCTGGAAGGAAATACTGAAAGCACTCCTTAAACACCGCAGTGCATTCTTAGCCTGAGGTCTGATCCTCAGCCAGCCTCCCTGTCCTGGCTCAGAGCTAGCGTCTGACAGAAGGGGAGAGGCTGCCTGTGGCTGCCCGGTTTTTCATCAGGTCTGAGGCCACGCCCTCCTTCTCAGGCTAGGCTGAAGGAAAGAGGTAGCTGCTCCTGCCTTGCTCCTCTTTGACTCTAGCTCCTCTTTGGATGACTAGCGATGGACACAGGTGGGGATCCTGGGGTGACATTTAAAGATTGATATTGTTGCCTGATTTGGTTGAACACCACAGCCTGGTTGGCAAATGCAGCAACTGCTCTTTCAGGGCCCTTGGAAAGATGTTGGAAAGAGGCCCTAGAGATGGCAACTTGGAGACCTCTGACTAAGCAGGGATGGCTCAGTGCTTAAAAGCATGGCTCTTGAAGTTTGGTTCCTGGCATCTAAGTGGGGTGGCGTACAACTGCCTGTACCTCCACTTCCAGGGGTCCAGCACCCTCTTCTGCACTCACATACCTACACACAGGTACACACACACACACACACACACACACACACACATATACACAAACTGTTACAAAATAGATGAAAATATTTTTATTTGGGTGTGGCAACCCACCCCTGTATTTCCAGCACTTGAGAGTCGGAAGCAGAAGGATCAACAGGAGGCCAGCCTGGGTGCCATCATAAAAATCATGTCCGAAAAATAGATTGTTTTCCTTAGAAGACTAGGGTGGTGTCAAAGGAGGAAACCCCTTTCACCCCAACAGTTAAGCTCAGCAATTATTTCCTTCCTTCTACACTGACAAATGGCAGGGGTGAAATTTTAAGTAACAATCCCCTACTCTTCCTGATTAGACAGAGAATACCTTGCTGGTTTAATTTACCTCTGGGATCCATGAACATAGACAGGTTTGGGCTCCAGCCTATCAGCAATTCCAGAAGAACCCATCGAACCTGGGCCCAATATAGTCATCCCATATTGGGGGACTGGAGAGGGGACAGCCAGACCATACCCACACATACCAGCTTTATGATTTTACCTTTCACGTGTAGGTTATAATCTGTGTCTAATTAACTTTGGGGTATGCTATGAGCTCATTTCTTCAGGTTCATTTCCCCCCACATGGATATTTAATTGCTTCAGCTGCATTTACTGAAAAGATCATCCATTCCCACTGCATTGCAATGTCACTTTTGCCATAAATCAAGTGACCTCATCCGAGTGGGTCTATTTCTGGGTTCTCGCTTCTGTCCCATTGCTCTGTTTGTCAATCCTTGTGCTTTTTCTACAGCATATTAATTGTGGTGACTTTATGAGAAATCTCAATATATATTTAGGATAGTCCTCCAACTTTGTTCCCTCAGACTGCTGCAGCTATTCCTGGTTCTCTTTTTCCCTGCACATTTTAGACTCAGTGTGTCAGTTTCTGCCACAAGAAATATGCTGAGCCCGAAATAAGTCTGTAGGTTGATTTGGGAATAACTGACATCTTCACAGTGTGAAATCTTCAACATATGAACATTCTTTAATATCTCTAATAATGTCTTATGGATTTCAATAAGAAGAGATTTATTCCTGGGTGTTTGCTATTTTTAATGTGAAATGATAAATAATATCATTTCCTCTCCTTCTTTTTAAAATGTGTGTTTCGTATATGTAAGCACACCACACGCCTGCAGGAGCCTGTAGAGGTCAGAAGGGGGCATCAGATCTGCTGGAACGGAAGCTCCAGGCAGCTGTGAGCTGCCATGTGGGTGCTGGGAACCAAACCCAGGTCCTCTGCAAGAGCAGTAGTGACTCCTACTGAACCATCTCTCCAGAACCTAATCTTCCTTGACCTCCTCTTCCTCCTCCTGTTTTGCCTTCTCCTCTTCTTCCTCCTGTTCTGCCTCCCCCTCTTCCTCCTCCTGTTCTGCCTCCTCCTCTACCTCCTCCTCCTTTCTAGGCCAGGATGGCATCAATGTCACTGTATAGTACATTTCTGACCCCCTGTCAGAGGAGATGAGGTACCGCAGGTGTGAGCTATGGCGCCCCGCTTTGTTTCATATTGAAACTCAATTAACTTTTACTTATGTTGACCTTGAATTGAGGACTTTCTAAGTTAATTTGGCTGTTTCAGAACCTTCTGGCTTTTCCACTTTGACAGTTGGCCTGACCACATTTTGGATGAGTTCTAGCGGCCTTCCTTTTGGTCACAGATTTCCCAACGTTTGAAGAGTTAGCTGATTTCTAAACCTCTATCTCCTACCCAAAGGTCCACTGACAGCCTCCATCCTCCATAACATCTTAGGTGCTGGTCTTTCTCCTCAGGTCTCTCCGCAGCCTCCCGGCTGTTCCAGAGGCAGGGGGATAACCCTCCAGGAAACACAGTAAGATCTTATGTAGTCAGAGACATACTGATTCATATCATTTTTTAAGTGTTTTGAGCTACTTCATATTCAAAGGCGCTCAAGCGTTGTTTATCAGTAAGCTGATCCAAGCCTGGGGCTCCCTTGGGAAACCCCTGTACCCTCGAGGTTTCCAGGTTTCCCCTCTCAGGTCTAGCCATGTTCCCCTCCCCAAGCCCACATCATTTCCATTGACAGAGTTCAGTAGGGCCTCACGCCAACTCCAGATCCAAGGTGAGGGGTGCAGGCTTGACCATGAGACATTTTGTGCAGTGTCCTAGGATAAGATTTAAACCCACAGAAAGTGGGTAAGTGGGACTCTGCGACTTTTTTGGAGAACTTGACCTGTACTTGATCTTGCTACCCTTTTGGCTCAGCCCTTTCCAGAATTAAGGCAAAGTGCGTGTTCGTGGGGAGGAACGTTCTTGAGTTGCCGAGTCTCATGATACCCACTCAGCCTGGGCAACAGCGCTGCTGAAAGTTGGCCCTGCTGGCTTCTTGGTAATGTTGTATATCAGGTTTCCTGTTGGTCCGTCAGCAATGAACAAGAGTTGACCGCGATGAAATTTTTAATAAAGCGTTTGATTCAATTTGCTAGTAGGCCTTCACATTTATGGTCTTTCCCAGGGTATTGCCATCTAGACAAGGTCTTGTTACATAGTCCACGATAGCCTCAAACTCACAGCAATTCCCCTGCCACAACCTCCCAAGAGCTGGGATTGCAGTCATGTAAGGCCATGCCCGGCTCTCACTTATGTTAAGTGAGATTGCTTCAGATTTTCCTTTTCTTCTTTGGCTGAAGGGTCAAGGTTATACCTGCTTCACGGAATGAGTCTGCCAGCCTCCTACCTTCCGGCCTTCTTTCTGTAATTCTTCGACACAGATTGATATCTGTAAAGGGTTTTATAAAAACACTCCTTGGCAGGTGACGGGGGCACAAGCAATAAGATGGATGCCTCATCTCCTGGCTTGTGGTCTGTGTTGGCTTTTTAGTTATTTGTTTGTTTGTTACAGTGCTTTTCTTGTTTCTAAGATTGTTCTCCTGGGAACCAGCCATTTCCCTGAGGAAGTTCAGAAGACAGAGGGAAGCCCCAGGGACAGAGAATAGCTGGGAGAGACACCCAGAAGCCTGAGGCCTGGTACCCAAAATCCTGAGGCCTAGTACCCAGAGGCCTGAGGCCTGGTTCGCAGCATTCAGTGAGCCACCCCCAGGGTCACTGGGACCAGCTCAGCTAACCCTCCTCTTCCAGGCACCATGTTCCGCAAGAAAAAGAAGAAACGTCCTGAGATATCAGCCCCACAGAACTTCCAGCACCGTGTCCACACCTCCTTTGACCCCAAGGAAGGCAAGTTCGTGGGCCTGCCCCCACAATGGCAGAACATCCTGGATACTCTGAGACGGCCCAAGCCCGTGGTGGACCCTTCTCGAATCACGCGGGTGCAGTTGCAGCCCATGAAGGTAAGGGGGGCAGGCCCACAGCCATGCTCAGCCTCTGCCACTCCCCAGGAAGCAGTCTGTGAAAGCCCGGAGGCATCTGTAGGGGCGGCTCGGGTGTCAGAATCCAGCCTCCTGCCTCAGTTCTCTGCTAATCAGCCCTTCTACCTGGGGAGGTTTTTAAGCCAGGTGTGGTGGCTCTCGATTAAGCCCAGCGCTTGGCAGACTGAGGCAGTCATACTGTTAAGAGTTGGAGCCCGGCCTAGGCTACAGGGTGAGGCTACAGGGGTCTTGAAAAAAAAAAATACCCACCAGACCACCAAAATTAATTCGTTAATTAATTAGAATTTCAGTTAACAACGGTCTTGAAGAATATCCTATCCGCCATTTAGACCTGTATCGCCTGAGGAGTTGCATCTGTCACAGACTTGGGGTCACATGTGGAGATTTGAGAGTTGGGGTCAGGAGCCCTAGTGTTTGGAGGGGAGGAGCGGGGGAGGGGCAAGGCCCTAGAGCCTGAAGTGTCTCTCCTGAGTTCTCTAGCTCCTGAGGCTCAGCCGGCCACCCACTTTTCATGTTGCATCATAACCCATCTGCCCTGCTGACAAAGGCCTCCCAGCGTTCAAAGGCTTCACAGCATGGGCCTGACCCATGGTGAACACAGGCAAATGTCTGAAACCGTAATGGGTGGGTCTGTGATAAAGGAAGTAGGTGGGTAGGCGTTAGTTCCCAGGGCCCTCCGGTAGGTTCTGAGCCACCCCCTGCCCGGAAGGGGCTGCTTCGCCTCACTCTTTTGTCTTCCTCCTGTAGACGGTGGTACGGGGCAGCTCAGTGCCCACGGAGGGCTACATCTCGGGGCTGCTCAACGACATTCAGAAATTGTCAGTTATCAGCTCCAATACCCTGCGAGGACGCAGCCCCACCAGCCGGCGGCGGGCACAGTCCCTGGGGTTGCTCGGGGACGATCAATGGGCCACGGACCCGGATATGTACCTCCAAAGTCCTCAGTCCGAGCGCACTGATCCCCATGGCCTCTACCTCAGCTGCAACGGGGGCACACCAGCAAGTCACAGGCAGATGCCATGGCCGGAGCCACAGAGCCCTCAGGCCCTGCCCAATGGGCTGGCCGCCAAGGCGCAGTCGTTGGGCCCTGCTGAGTTCCAGGGAGCCTCGCAGCGCTGCCTGCAGCTGGGTGCCTGTCTGCAGAGCTCCCCACCTGCCGCCTCACCCCCTATGGCCACAGGGAGGCGTGGGGTGAAGGCTGCCAAGCATAGCTCGGAGGAGGCCCGGCCACAGTCCTGCCTGGTGGGCTCAGCCGTGGGTAGGCCGGGTGGAGAAGGCAGCCCCAGCCCGAAGAACCAGGAAAGCAGCCTCAAGCACCGGCTCTTCCGAAGCATGTTTCTGTCCGCTCCCGCCACGGGGTCTGCAAGCGGCAGCAAGCCGGTCCCTCTGCCACAGAATAAGGTATATTCACCTGGGACTTCCTCTTGGGGTCACTCTAGGGAGATCAAGGAAGCACACCTGGCAGACATCCGTAGCTCAGTAAGTAGTGGAGATGTGAGAAATCCAAAGGACTATCCAACCAGGGTGGCCTCGGCTAATGACTACAGCCTGAATTCGCCATCTGAAACGGTGTCTTCCAAAGGCTCAGCATGTGTGAGTCGTGGGCTGTGGGCCAAGTCATTTCAGGTAGAGGAGAGCCCATTATGGCTGACATTCCTATTCTCAGAGCCCCGGCAGGAGGGAGACCCTCCTTTAAAAGCATGTTTAACCGAAAGCTCAGGGCAGAACCTTGAGGCCCAAGTAGGGATATGTGCCCCGGCCTGGACAGAGCAGGGTCCCTCCGTCTCCCTCTTTGAGGGGCATTTCTGGAGCCCCCTGCTTCCCTGAGAACTGCAGGGGATTCTGGGTACCGCTGCCTACAGTGACCGCCTCCTCCCCTTCCTCCTTTCCCTTTTCTCCCCATAGTTATTTCTTCTACAGCGTGTCATGAGAAGACCAAAGGATCAAAGAAGAGTCAAGGCTCCAGTTCTCACTTCCACATTGTGTGTTGTCTGGCCCCTCCTTAATTTTTCAATGTCCCCGGAGGGGTACAACTTTCCAGAGAGTGTGTGCTATGAGAATCAAGGGGACTGACATAGCCGGACAGAGGACTCCTTTCCCAAGACAACCAGGAAGAGGGGAGGCAGGCTTGGTGGCATTCCTTGGCAAACAGATTAGCCCGTTTCACATCTTACCTACCTGCTCATCCTATCCGCAATGACAGGAGCACCATTTCCCATTCGGCAGATGATTAACCGCTCAGACTGAGCTAATGCTAGGATCTCCAGAGAATCACAGAAGCAGGCGGGGAAGGCAGCCTCTCGGAGCTGTCATCCTGTCTCAGGCCGCCTGGGTTCCTGGGTCTTGTGTACAAAGCTCTGCCATCATGGTGGATAGTTACCACCTAGTTCCTGAGAGACAGGGTGAGCTTGAGGGGGTTTAAGCCAGGCCTAAGAAACAGCTGCTTACAGTGGAGGGGCCTCCCTTCAAAAAGGGAGGGCTTTGAGAGCAAGCCGGACCCTCTACTGTGGTGATAGTAGGACTAAGGTCTAGCCTTAACTGGAGGGTGACCTGAGTCACTTCCGGTGCAGGCACCGAGGAGGCTTCTTGCTTTCATACTCTCCTGCCCCTCACGTGTCTGTGAGGTTAGGGGGTCTCTGGAAGGCTTTGACTTGGGAAATATCCCCATTGGACTAAGGGGGACAGGGCAAGGTAGGCGTAGCACTAGGGAGGTGAGGGTCAGTTGATATCCCGAGCCTGCTTGGGTGGGCTGCAGGGGTCTGGAGGAAAGGGGTGCTGACATCATCTGTCAGCACACTGCTCATCCCCAGTCACTACTGAGAACCCCTGTGGGCACTGTAGGCCTGAGCACCCCCACATGGTTCCAAACACAGGGGGAGTGGTTTCCTTCAAGGCAGACTTTCCAGATAAATGTTCTCTAGCTGAGGCTCTCTCTCTCCGGTTTCTCTGTGTAGCCCTGGCTGTCCTGGACTCAGGCTGGCTTTGAACTCACAGAGATCCACCTGTCTCTCTGAGTGCTGGGATTAAAATCATGTGTCACCACCACCTGGCTAACTGGGGCTCTCAAAGGCATGACGGAATCTTCAACCGTCACTGGATACCTGCAGACTCCCAGCAAGACCAGGGCCTATGCTGGGTGGGAAGTGAGACCCCCCCCCAAAAAAAAAGCCTGGGAGTGGGAGCATAGAGCTGGCAAGCCTTTGGCAGGACCTAGATTTGGGGCACTTGAGCAAGCAGCCTAAAGTGGTGGCTCCAGGAGAGGCCCTTGAGTGAGTTCAGTGCTGTGGCCATTTGCAAAACCTAGTGAGTACTGTGGTGGACTTAGGGGAGACCTAGGCAGGCCTCTGAGGAGCTCCTAGAGGGTCCCTCTCCTCACACCTTTTAAAAACACAAGATCCTAGGAGGCTTGGGAGGGGTGGGATCCTTTAACTCCAGTGCTGGCAGGAAGGCTTGAACTCAGGAGAGGGCTTCGTGGGCTCCTAGGGATGGGCTGTCTCTCCTCTGCCTCACCCGCCACCAAGGCTGTGAGACTAACTCCCCACGGGTTCCTTACCCAAGAGCCTCTTGGTAGGTATCACCTCCTAGATACACAACCTCCCAAGAGGGCCGCTGGACCCCAGCTGTGGCTTCCTTCCCGTCTTGGTTCTGGAAGCCAGTCACAGCCACCCACTGCCCCTTGCCCAGGGCCTCTTCCGCTCATGCCGGGAGCACCTGACCCAGCTTCTCAGAGGAATCTGTCTCAGAATGGCCTCCCTGAGGTCCACCTGTCAGTTGCCCAGGAAGAAATACCCAGCTGGAACACACCCTGGGGACTTCCTGTCTATGGTAGAGTAGATATAAAGAAATGCTCTTGGCCTGTCACCTAGGAGCTTGGGGGTTGGGGAATGCCGGTGTGGCTGTGCTTAGGCCTCAGCTTCAGTTGTCTGCTTCCTCAAATTAATTTGAAGTCTCGGGTGACCCTGCCGGGGTCCAGCCCACATCAGCCACCCCCGCCTGTAAGGAACTTGCCTCAAATGTGCCCTGACTCTCCATTGTTTTCTGTTCCCTTGTCTTCACAGCTCAATTCTGCTTTCCGACCACCACAAAAAGACCCCTCCTCAAACCCAGTGGCCAAGGCACAGTCCTTGCCCTCCGATCAGCCCACGGGGACCTTCAGTCCTCTGACCACCTCAGATACCAGCAGCCCCCAGAAGTCCCTCCGCACAGCCCCGGCTGCCTGCCCACTTCCGGGCCGGTCCTCTCCGGCAGGCTCCCCCCGCACTCGGCATGCTCAGATCAGCACCAGCAACCTCTACCTGCCCCAGGACCCCACAGTGGCCAAGGGGCCCCTGGCTGGCGAGGACACGGGCATTGTGACCCATGAGCAGTTCAAGGCTGCGCTCAGGATGGTGGTGGACCAGGGTGACCCCAGGCTGCTGCTGGACAGCTATGTGAAGATTGGGGAGGGCTCCACGGGCATTGTGTGTCTGGCCCGGGAGAAGCACTCGGGTCGCCAGGTGGCGGTCAAGATGATGGACCTCAGAAAGCAGCAACGCAGGGAGCTGCTCTTTAATGAGGTGGGGACTGGCTGGGGCCTCAAGCAGGGCACTTAGGTGTGCGGTGTGAGGGGAGGGCTCGGTGCCCGGGAGTGACGTGGCAGGAAGGCTGGGTGGCCTGACCATGGGATGCTATGCCAGGCACTCAGGCCTCTCTCTGCCCTCAGGTGGTGATCATGCGTGACTACCAGCACCTCAATGTGGTAGAGATGTACAAGAGTTACCTGGTGGGCGAGGAGCTGTGGGTGCTGATGGAGTTCCTGCAGGGCGGGGCCCTCACAGACATCATCTCCCAAGTCAGGTGGGTGGTTGACATGGCTGGGCTGAGGGAGGAGCCACCCTGAGGGGGTGGGGAGGTTATAGCCTGTATGAATATGCTGCCTGGGAATTGCTGGCCCGTTTGTCTGGGACTCCTCTCTACCCAGCCCGGCCCCCCTGATAACTCAGCTCTCCCGTGGGTGGCCCGCCTTCCCTGTCCAGGCTGAATGAGGAGCAGATTGCTACTGTGTGTGAAGCTGTGCTTCAGGCCTTGGCTTACCTGCACGCCCAGGGTGTCATCCACCGGGACATCAAGAGCGATTCCATCCTGCTGACCCTTGATGGCAGGGTAGGTGCCCCTTTCCTGTGGCTCAGCCGCCCACCCCATCCTCTCCAGCTCCTCTTCTCCTCCTGGTCTCTACCTACTTCCTTCTCAACTCCAGGTGAAGCTCTCAGACTTTGGATTCTGTGCTCAGATCAGCAAAGATGTCCCCAAGAGGAAATCCCTGGTAGGAACCCCCTACTGGATGGCTCCTGAAGTGATCTCCAGGTCCCTGTATGCTACCGAGGTAACTATCCCCTGCACTGCCCGGCCTCCCCAGAGAGGCTCAGGGGAGCCTCTGCTTTGTCCCTGTTAAGGGTTCCCACCACTAATAACCGAAGTTCCGAGGTCCTCACTTAATCAGCACCTGTCCCCTTCCTCCTTTTTGAGACAGGGTCTTCTCTGTGTAGCCCTGGATTTCCTGGGACTCACTATGTAGACCAGACTGGCCTCGAACTCACAGATATCCGCCTCCCCCTTTCAATGGTGACACTCTCACCTGAGACTTCACTGTGCAACAGGCCCTGCCACCCACTGCTCTCTTCAGCTCAAGGGCATACGGCCAGTGATCTCCATGAGGGATGGCTTCTATGGCCACTGGCTTCTTGCCCAGAGAGCAGCTGACCAGGGGAGGGGTGAGGCAGACTCCCTAAGGAGACAAGATGTTCCACCCAACATGGCCAGGCCCCAGCAGCAGAGTCAGGGCTGTTCTCTTGCAGGTGGATATCTGGTCTCTGGGCATCATGGTGATTGAGATGGTGGACGGAGAACCTCCCTACTTCAGCGACTCCCCAGTGCAAGCCATGAAGAGGCTCCGGGACAGCCCCCCACCCAAGCTAAAGAACTCTTACAAGGTCGGTGACCGTGCAGGGTGGGACCCCCCCACCTCACACCCCAAGTCCATCCCGCCCCCGCCCCCCAGACAAGAGTATGGGTGCGTAGGCTGCACGGAAGCAGAAGGGTGTTGCTTTTGGTCTTGTTCCCTGTAAAACCTGCGCTGGGTGCAAAGTAACATTTATGTACAAACTCCCCTGTTTGTACGCCAGCAAATTCCCCCCTGCAGCAGGAGAGTTGCCCCTCAGCAGGCTCTTGACAGGAACCCGCCGGTATCTATAAGGAGGAAGAGTGAGGACCCCAGGACTCCCAGCTGTCTCCCAAGGAGGAACCCACCCTCCTTGTCAAGGGTCCCCATACCAACCCAGTGCTATCCCACGAATGTGCTTGTCCTCTTGTATGGCACATCCTGACCTTAGGTGAGCCACTGCTTGTCCCCTAGAACCAGGATATATACTAATTATAATTAACTCTCTCCTGCCACATCCGTCTCTCTGCTGGCAGATGGGCACACGACAGCTCAATGGTACTGCCACCTGGTGGCCAAAGCAAAAAAAATGTCCCAGAGGATTGAAACAGTTTCTAAGCGGCTCCAAGACAGCTTGATCCTTGGAGAACTGCCCTGCTAAGTCTGAGATAAGCAGGTGTACAAGAGCACCCATTAGTGACCTGCCCCAAGGAGGCAGCCTTCTGAAGCATCCTAAGGCAGCCTTCTAGCTCTGGGACCGGATCGCTGATGCCAGTTCCACGCCCATCTCACAGAGCTGCAGAGCCTGAATGCCAAGAGCCCTGAGAAGCAGGCAGGGCTATGTATGGAACCCCGCTCCCCAGGGTTCCGGACATCCTCACTCCATTGCTCTGCAGCTCCTGTGACGGGTGAACTGGCCTCCTTTCCCTGCTTCCCTAATCCAACAACCCGTGAGCCTGGGAGGAACCAGGAAGTAAGAAATCCTCCCCTGGCTTAAAACAGCGGTCAAGCCACGGCAGGGAAGTGACTGTGAGCTCCTTCTCACTGCTCTGCCCCGCAGGTCTCCCCAGTGCTGCGAGACTTCCTGGAACGGATGCTGGTACGGGAACCGCAAGAGAGAGCCACGGCCCAGGAGCTCCTGGACCACCCCTTTCTGCTGCAGACAGGGCTGCCCGAGTGCCTGGTGCCTCTCATACAGCTCTACCGCAAGCAGACCTCCACCTGCTGAGCCCATCCAGGGTGCACCCGCTACCTGTGCCAACAGGCAAAGGACGCCGGGCAGCCAGCCCACTGGCAGGGCCTACCTGCCTTGTTCTCTCAGTATTCTCTCCAAAGATTGAATGTGAAGTCCCACCCCTTCCCTCTTGCCCTTTTGCCCATTGGGCCAGGCCGGACCTGCCCCCCTCAGTCTCGTTCCTCTCGGAGTCCCAGTTGCCTTTGGGATGACAGCGACCCGCCCCCCACCCCCCTGCAGGTTTGGCCCCTTTGTTATTTGCACAGGGATGTTTCTAAGAAACGTGGAGAGTGGTGCTCCTGGCCACCAGCCAGCAAAGCTGACAGGCTGCTGCAGGTTTTTAAAGGTGGTGTCCACCAGTGCCCTGGGCCACCAAGAGGGTGCCTGCCCGATCTGCACATGGATACTGGCTATTCTCGGCTACAGCTGCAAACCCTGGAGTCCCAGAGGGCCATGGGGAAGGATTTTATTGCCTGAATCCTTCTTCCTCTTCCCTTGGTCTGACTTCCGGAAGCCCCACTTGCACCTGTTTCCTGCCTGTCCCCTGGCACCCCCTCTCCTTAGAAAGCCTCCACAGAACTGGGAACTGCCTGTGTGTAGGCCATGGGAGTGGCAAGGGGGATCTTGTGAGAGAGTGAGTGAGGCTGATGGTCAAAGTGGTTCCATTTTCCAAGATGGAGGGAACATATTCTCATATTCTCTCTCTCTCTGTGTGTGTGTGTGTGTGTGTGTGTGTGTGTGTGTGTGTGTAAAGTCCCCCAATGGTCCAGGCTCTTCCAGTTACGGAGAGCCTCAGAAGAGCTGTCCACCTTCCTCATCCTCTTTTCTACCAAGCTCCACTCTGAAGGGACCTGCCTTTTGGGCCTCAAGTCTCATGTTGTTATCTAAACAGTGAAGGGGTATGTTACATGTCAAGTCTAATACATGCTGGGGGCCCTCAAGGTTTCTGAGTTCCTCACGTACTGAGACAGAAATAATAAGGGAATAAACTTTGTTTTACCTGTCAGCAACTTCTCGGTAGCCAGATCATCAGGGACCCCTCCTCTTCAGAACCCTGGGTTGGGACAGAAAGGTGAACCGCCTCGAGGAAGGGGAGTCCCTCATGCTGAGGGATGGGTAATGGGTACCTCCTGCGTGAACCTGCTGCCCCAGCTGATACTCACCTGCCTCTCTGACCTCCCTCCCTTCCCACCTTCCTGGCTGTTGTGAGACAGGGAATGCCAAGAACTCCAGTGTCTGGACCCTGTCCAGATAACATTTTTAGATTTCCTCTGCTCCCTGGAAACCTTCATTAGGGCAAAGAAATTGCAAGGTCTTTTTGTAAGGGTCAGAGTTTTAAAAACAAAAGCATCTTCCCTAGGAGAAAAAAAATTTTTTTTTTTTCTTTTTTTGTGACTTGTTTGCACTTGTGCCTGTTTTAAATTAAACTGAATGTTCGAACCTCTGGGCTTTCCATTATCTGGGGCTGGGGCTAGGGCTAGGCTTTCTTGAAGCTGGATGCCTTTGGAGTGGGTGTTTGGTGGGCTCCTGCATGGTCACTTGAGTCCACAGAACACCCAGCTTCTCTTGTGGCTTGTATATCTAATGTGAGGGCAGAGGAAGAAGGAAGCAGGAAGTGAAAGGCCCTAGAGATGGAAGCCAAGGAGTAAGAGGGTTCTGGCCAGGGCTGAGCCTACTGAGGAGCCACAGGGGCTCTGGCAACATGTGACCACAGAAGCTGACCGCTTTCAACTTTGGCTTCTTCACCTGGTCCTCAGGCTACCCATAGAAAGTTCTCTGAAGCTTCTACCTGAGAGAAAAGCAGACCCTGTTCGTTTCTTAAATCTGGGTCAGTTTGAAATTTCAGAAGTGCAGGAAAGTGGCCAGAACCTTGGATTCTGGTCCATTAGGAGGTGAGAAAAATTACCTTATAACTTCTACTCTGACAATGATTCCAGTCTTCCTTTTCTGAGCTCTCCACCCAACGCAGTGCTCATTGAAACCACTTAACAAGGAGAAAGGAGTCAGCCCTAGCCTGCAGCCACCAGCCCCAAGCCCAGCCCCAGCAGTTGAAGGAGAAGAAGCCCTGGAGACTCTCTAGCTATAGAATGGAAGGGGCCAAGGCTGATGAAGGTAGGAGTGTGTACTTCCATTTTTTCAAAGGGAGACGAGGCAGGAGTGAGCAGGAAGGCGAAGAGAGGCCAGCTCTCCAAACTGAACAACACTGGGTTTATTAGCTGCTCTCACTCCCATTAGTCCTTTTCACCACATGCCTCATACTCCAAAAGCATGTGCCAATGCCCTTCAGCCTTCCACACCAACCGGTACTGAGCGTCAGCGGCCTGGGTGACTCTTCGCAATGATGACAACCATACGAAAAGCAGAATACACGGCAATGCCTTTCCCACTGTGGGAGGGACTGCAGCTCCAGCATCCATACCGAGAACCGACAGGAAGTTTGGGGTGAGTGAAGGGTGCTGGAGTTCTGCACAGAGCTTGCCGAGGAGTCTGTGCTGTCCGGTCAGCAAGGCAGCCGGCGGCCGGCGGCAGCTCAGTTCAGACGGGGAAATCTACCTCGGTGCTCCAGAAACATCACTTCCAGCCACGCGCCTCCCAGCCACTCCACAGACCCCAAGCAGGAGCAGCACTTGTATATACCCAACAGAGACTCTCCAAGGTGCCGTTCCCACAGAATACACGCCAGTGGCGCTGGAAAGACTGACAGCGCCCCTGACACAACGGGCGAGCCAAATTTCATGATGCTCGTAAGCCAAAGATGTTGGTACTCCTACACCATTAAAAAACGAAACTTCGTTAAAATTAAACACAGTTGAAAACGGAATGCGAGCGAGGAAGGGTCAGAGGAAAAACAGTATTCGCTTGGAGCGTCCCAGCCCTGACCTCCTCTGGCTTTTCAGACAACGTGTTGTTTGTTCATCTGTCACTGGGGGGGGGGGGGGGGCGGAAGAAAGGCAGGTGTGTGTGCTTGTGTGGGAGGGGCGGGGCTGGGGCTAGGGGTGTCTGTGTGTCTGTGTGGGGTAGCAGAGATCACCACAGAATGGAAAGCAACTATCATCTTAAGAAGACAACACACACGGTCGGGTCAAGGTCTGGAAGCCACAGGGGTTGGCAGCTCCAGGTGTCCTATCTAAAGATGGCAGGAGATCTTCCAACAGCAGCAGCCTTAGCTTGCAAAATGGCTTGGGGTTCTTGCTAAAGGGGTCCTTAGTGGGGCTCCGGGCACGTTTCACTACACCCGGCTTTCCTTGTTCCTCACTTCATTGAAGTGAAGCGACGTCAAGTATCCGGATTTAATATTCTACAGGAGGGACACGCTTCGTGGGTAAAATGTACACAGAGGGAGACGTTACACATCTGAAGATCTCCGGTAACTGCCAAGTCTGAGCTCCCAAGGCGCAGCGAGGAGAACGCAGAGGTGCCACCAGGGGGCAGCAAGGATCACAGTCCAAATTGTGGGCCGGCGCGCGGCCTCGGACGCTAGCGAGGCCAGGAACCGGGTCGGTGTCTGACCCCTGCAAAGCTGGTTCCTGACCACCAGCATTCTCCCTCCGGGCAGTTCCCTCGGGGAGAAACCTTTCCCCAAAGACTGAACGGATCGACATCTTAAAAAGACTTCACCGCAGGCAGGTGAGGGGCTACAACCCTTACACTTCGGGGTTCACAAACAGAAACCCGAGGTACCGGAAAGCTCTCGCTGCCTTGCAGCGGGAGTTTTAACCCCGCCCTGCTGGTACAGCTCTCACACCAGGAGCCAGCGCTGACACTGGGTCTTAAAGCGCGCGACCTGTCAAACCCTTCTTCGCCCCCTCTCAGGGCAGGGGCGGAGAGGGAGAGGACAAAAAGACTTGGCGGGGCGGGGGCCTAACTGCCTCTCCACAGTTGCCTCTGACTCACTAATCTGCCCAGTAATAAAAGCTGGAACTTGGGCTGGCCTGCATCCCACACGGTGGGGCACAAGCAGGGGGCCTCGGGCTCGAACTAGCCTCCGTCGTCTGCCCTGCCCTCCATTAACAGCCCAGCAAGAGGCAGGAGACGTTCAGCAGCCCCTCCCCCTCCCCTCCTCTCTCCGGAGCTGGATGTAATTTAGACCGGGGACCTGTGGTTCGTGTGGGCTCCCGACTCCCGCGCGCGCCCCGCCGCTTAACGTTGCAAACACTCCAGTCAATTATCCCCCTCGCGGAGGTGCTATTTAAAGAGACATTGTCAGGTTCTTAAGCCTCGGATCAGACCTGCTGCTTTCTGCCTCAAACACAAAAGGCTCAAAACACGAGTTCTTTTGAGAGTTGGAAGAAATACAATTAAGCAAACCCTTCCTAACTGTTCCACCCTCCCGGAGCACCCACGTGCAGAATGGGGGAGCTGGAAGGAGGAGGTGGAGCGCTATGTCCTTTCCATTTCAGGCCTCTGGGACTGAGCGGAAATATAAGGCTGGGCCAGGATGAGTGAAGCATTGAACCTCACAGAGGAAATTCAAATGCAATCATGCTGGGGTCAAGCTGGCCTAGGAGACAGTAGGGGTTGGGGGGGGCAGTGACCCTACAATATCAATGAAATTGACCCCTGGGTCTGACTGAGACAGAGTCAGAAGTTTATCCCCCAGAAGAGAACATCCGGTAAACAACGCCTAAACATTCTCACTGTCTTGAAGGAGGAGGTTGCTTGCGCCTCAGAAAGCCTTAACCACTAGATTCCTTCATAGTCAGCCCCCTTGTCCAAAAAGCTCACGGGGCCGCCTCGTTCCTCCCGTTCTCCAGCACTTACAGGAAGGGACACTTTGGTGTTCTGTCAAAACTACTATGGTCAGCATCAGTATGCGCGGCCTGGGCCTTCGTTCTTTAAAGCCAGCTCTGCTGTTACCTGGCCGCCGAGGCGAATGGGAAGTTAGAAATAGGCAGGGGGTCCTGCGGGAACGGAAGCAGAACCTAGGCAGCTGAGCCTCAGGGCTGGGGCTGGGGCTGAGGGGTTCACGTTCCTAGCTAGAAAGCGGAAGCCTACAGAAGTAGCCTTTCCCACCTCTAACCTCCCCCTCCCCCCAGGACAAGAAAGTCAGGTTGAAGGAAGGTGAGCTATCTACACGGGAAATACCAAAGAGCGCGCGCGCGCGCACACACACACACACACACACACACACAAAGATGGGGTCCGTTTCTTACATCTGGATGGAGGTCTCCCTTTAGCAGCGGGGACAAGGGGGGGGGGGAGCGGCAGCAAATCGCAGTGATAGACTGAGGAAAGGGAGACAGCTCAGTGACCACAGACAGAGTGGGCTCCGCAGGGCTCGACCTCCGTGGCCCTCACCGCTGAGCCTGCAGCACCACAGCCTCTGTGCCCGCCTGCCAGGCCTTTGGCCCGGGCGCCGAGAAAGGCAGAGCGTCGTTCTCCAATTCTGGGCCACTCTCGGGCCCCGAGGCCTCCCCGACCAGGCTGGGGATGTCTGGGGCTGTAGAACGTCGGCGTAAGCCCAGGCGGCCGGAGCCGGGGCCACCCTCGGGGTGGGGACTGAGGCCGATAGGGGCTTGCGCTAGGGTTGGCGGCGCTCCCTCCAGCACCTCGTGTGAGCGCCACCGCCCACCCCCGGAAGACTGGGGTGAGTTTGACCGGGCCATCAGAGCCCCCGCCCGAAGGCGCGCTGTCTCCTCCTCCGTCATGGTACCCAGCGCTAGGCTCATGCTCCGGCCCAGCTCCGGCCTCTCACCGCCTTGCGCCCTGTGACGGCCCGAGCCCTTGCCAGCAGGGGCGAGCTCACCCCCGTGGCCGTGGCCGTGGCCGTGACCGTGGCCGTGGCCGCCGGCAGCTCGAGCAAACCGTGCCAAAAGAGGCCGCGGTAGACGGCGGGGGCTGGGTCGTCGACGCTCCGGGCTGGGCGCCGGGGCCGGGCGGCCGGGGGGGCTGTCGGAGTTGGAACCCCGGGCCGCCGCGGCCGCGGCCGCCCGACCCCAAGGCCCCGTGAGGGCCTGCACACAGGTCCCGTGGCCGCGGGAGGCGGCCAGCTGCAGCGCGGTGAGGCCCGCGCGGTTGGTGCGGTCGAGGCGCAGGCCCAGGCGGCGGAAGGAGCGCACCAGGAACTCCAGCACCGCCCCGTGGCCGCACGCCGCCGCCCACATGACCGGGCTGTTGCCGGCCGAGTCCGTGGCCTCCGGGTCGCCGCTGAACTGCACGAGCAGCTGCACGGCGTCCAGGTGGCCCCGCTCGCAGGCCAGGCTGAGGGCCGTGCGGCCGCGCTCGTCGCGCAGGTTCACGGCCGCGCCCTGCTCCAGCAGCAGCCGCACGAAGCGGGAGCGCATCGCGGGGTCCGGCAGCCCCACGGCCACCATGAGCGGCGTGCGGCCCTGCTCGGCTCGGCAGTCGATGATGCTGCGGTCCAGCGCGTCCAGCACGAAGCGGGCCAAGTGCACTTTGCCCGCCTGCATGGCCTCCAGGAAGGTGCGCGTCCCCGCTCGGGGGCACAGGTCTTTGGGCTTGAGCATGGCTCGGCCGAGCGAGCCCCGGAAGTCCGACAGCTCCGCACGGGGGCGCCCCCGTTCCCTCACCCACCTTCGGGGTCCCGGCCCCGGCCCCGGACACCGGTACCGCCCTCTCCGCTGCAAGCCGGGGGTCCTGCCGTGCCCGCTCCGGTCACCCCGAGGCTGCCCGCTGCCTCGCCGCTCCCGGCGCGTCCCGCCTGGAGGTGTGGGCCTCCTGCTGCTCCCGACCCCCGGAGCTCGAGCTCGGCCTCCTCAACTCCCGGGTTCTTCTTTCCCGCATCCGGCGCCCCTCGGTCCCGTGTGGCTTGGGGCGGTGCCGCTTCCCGGGCACCCCGGGACCCCCTGCTGAGCGGGTGGCGCCCGCCTGGCGCGCCTGCCTCCTGCCTCGGCGGGGAGCGCCGCTCCTCCAGCTCCCGGAGCCTCTCCCCGCCTCCTCCTCTCTCGCGGGGGCCGGGACGCTTGCTTTTTTGACTTGGGGGGCTCAGCGGCTCGTGAGGTGCCCGACGTCTGGAGAGCTGGCTTTATAGCTTGGCGGTGGTAGTGGGGGTCTCCATGACAATGGCAGCCCTGGAAGCGGGCTGCGCCTTCGGGGCAGAGACGGACAGGGTGAGGGGGACCGCCCCTGACCCCCACCCTTCCGTGGGCCCACGGAGTTGGGGAGCGGCTCCTCCTCCGCGCTCCCCTGGGAATGCGGCGGCGGTTGCGGGGCGGGGGCGGAGGCTGCTCGCCGGGGGGCCACATGCACCCGGCGGGGCCAATCCTAAAGTCGCAGCCTTCTTTCCCCGCCCCCCCGCCTCCGCCGGAGTCGGTAGCCTCGGCTGCTTAGAAACTGGCGGGAGCTCCTGCCATCGGTTCTGGGCTAAAGGTTCTGGGCCTCCACGGGGACGGGACCGGACAGTGCGCGAGCCTGGGGTGGGGCTCAGAGACAGGGTGGAGAGTAATCTGGGGTGTTGAAAGCGTTTGTCCTCCGGACTGAGGGCGCTCAGTCTGGCTGCTAACTGCCATCTAAAGTGCAGTCAAACTGCCATCTAAATCACAGTCAAACACAGTCGTGCCTCCGGCACACAGCTCACTCAGAGCTGGGTGGGGGTGTGTTCTCCAGTCTCAGACGTCTCCAAACCTGACAGCGCGCCCGCGTGCCCGTTCCACGCTCGCTGAGGAGCAAGCTGACCTGCTGTTACCCGCGGCAGGTGCCTTAGGACCCGAGAGTGTGCAGGCGTTAGGACTCCCCAGGCACTACTTCCTAGCCTGAGATCCATTCCCCCCCCCCCAATTCTGATGTGTGGAAAAGCCACCGGACATGATCTCCCTTTGGGCAACCGGTTCCTTGGCCATGGGGAGGGGTCTGAAGGCCTCGGGTGAGATGAGTTACAATGAGTGCCTCACAAACTCCCAAGTTCAGAGGGCATGAGGATCGTTGGAGTTTATTTGCAGAGTAAGTGAAGGGCTAGGGATTTTCCTCAGCTGGTAGAGTCCAGTCTACACAAAACCATTGGTTAGATTCCCCGCCCAAAACCAGGCGTGGTGCTGCCCACCTGTGGCCCCAGCGCTTGAGAGATGGAGGCAAGAGGATCATCCTCAGCTACATAGTGAGTCTGAGGCCAGCTTGGGCTACATGAGACTCCTGTTTCCTGTCTCAAAAAAAAAAAAAAAAAGAAGCAAGCAAGAAAAGAAAACGTGAACTATTGAATCAACTATTGAATGTAATTCACAAACTGGATTCTGAAGCTGAATGACTTGCATTCTCAATCAGGAAGACAAACCCAGGATATAAACGTGGAATGGGGGGAGAGAGCTGTTGTCCAAGGATTGATTAATCTACTAAACACAACACGCAGCCAGCCAGTTTCCAGAAGAAAGGATGGACTGATGGAAAAGAGAGGAATCCGGGGTCTTCTGAAGACAGCAGCGGACTAGGTCCTTCAAGAATGAGTGACGCTGGCCGCTAAGAAACAGACAGAGGGGTTACAGGGCCAAAGGCGCCTAACAGGAACAACGTTGAGGGTTGTGTTAGGGGTCCTAGGCTATAAGAGACAGGAAACTTGGGGAAGAATTGAGGGGTGCTCAGCCTGGGCAGAGCAGGATGCTTTGCAGGAGACCCCTGAAGCACAGGTCTTCTGGAAACAGGGCAAAGGGCCCAGGAAGCCTCCATGTCTTCTGGAACTCCCAGGCTCCAGGACAAACACTGTGGATTTGGGCTAGACGCTACAACAGGCACTCATAGCCTTTGTCCTGTGGGGGGCACGTACTAAGTGCATGCTCTGTGAAGTGAGCCCCCATGCCTTTCTTGGCATGAGGCTTAGGCCTCAGCTTGTGTCCTGTACCAGCAGTGTCAGCCCAGGCCTGCGCATTCCCACCTGTAAGAGGAAGCAAAGCCTGTCAGCTCAGCCTGCCCCACACAGGATCAGGGACCCTCGTCAGAGAAAGCACCACATCGTTATTCAGCTACTGGCCCTCAATGTGTGCCCCACCGGAAGATCGGGTGACCCTCTCCACTCCAGCAAGGGAACAGGGGTACTCTCCCTCTTCACTCAGCCAAAGAAGGGTTTTTGTCCCCTCAGGACTTGGTTTTCCCCACCCCCGTCTGCATCACGAGAGAAAACAGTTCCTTCCCTCTGTCTGCCTTCAGGATCAGGAGGAAGGTTAGGTTGTGTTCCTCCAGGAGAAGAAAAGCATCAAAAAACCCAGGGGGAATTGGCCACGCCCCTCTTCCCAAGGGCCTCCCTGAACCAGCTAAGCTCTGCTTCTGCCCCTGTTGCCTGTGGTGGAGGGAAAAAACTTGTGGGGCAGGGGATGGGGGAAGAGTCCTCTTCAGAGCCTCAGTCTGGCCTGCACTGAGTTCTCAGATGGGCAGCGATCCCAGGTCTCAGGCCCTAGAGCCTTCGCTCTTGACTTTTTTTTTTTTTTCCCCTGGGCTCACTATGTTCTGAACAGAAAAGAAACAGCAAAGCTGGAGAAGAAGAAGAAGAAAAAAAAAAAAAAAAAAGCGAACACAGAGGCACCGACAGCCGGAATTAGAAGCTGTCGCTTAGGGAGCTGAAGGCTGACAGGAGAAGGAGCTATGAAGGCAGGGGGCAGGCAGGCACTTCGCACTCCTCCCCTCCCACCCGCCTGGCTTCTCCTCCTGCAGGCCCCAGGCTGGCAAAAGAGCTTCCTCCCAGAGATGCCTCAGTTGGCAGGTCTGTCTGTCTGTAACTGTCCCTCCCCGCCCCCTTCTTTCCTCCTCAGGTGTCACCAGCCCCCTCGCCCTGTCGAACTGCAACAGCTAGCTCCTCAGGGTTGAGCCTAGTGGCACGTGCCAGCCTGCGGAGCTGCAGGGAGCTGGGGGGGGGGTCAGAGGGAGGGGGTGAGTCAGCAGAGACTCTGGCCCTGAGTCAGCCATGGGACTGCTGAGGGGTGACAACCCTTCCTTCTCCATGCTAAGGTAAATGGAAATCATGAGCGAAAAGGGAACCTGGCCCTGGCTTTATGGCACAACAGGGATGGAATCCAGGTGTCTTTTACCTGCCCAGTGCCCAGTGCCCAAGGAAGAGCACCAACTCTTCCTCTGTACTTCCCCAGTGGCCAGAGATTAATTTATCTCCAGGGCCTAGAACCTGCCCTTTGGGCATCAGACCGAAAACAGGCAACAGTGGGTAACCAGACTGCTTGAGAAGCCATTCAGAAGCCCCTTTCGGGAAGTAGGATTGTACCCCCTTTGCCGGTCATGGGCTGCTCAGCTCCCTCCTGGCCTGGCAAGAAGAGAACTGAAGGCAGCTTTTCCTTACCCTGCGAGTACATGGGTATTGACTGTGGCTATTGCCCAGTGGGCTGTGCTGGCTCTGACTAATGCCCGTGTACCTGGCTCAGTGAGTTCCTCTCAGTCTGGGTCTTCATCCCCACCGGATTCTAGCCCCGGGAGGGAGAAGGCAAAAATAGGACTTTAGGTATTGAGGTATAGATGGCCCATCCTGGTGGTATCCAGTGTCGCTACAACACAGGAAGGCTGGCTGATGAAAGCCAGGCTTTAGTCCTATGAATGAGCAGGACTTAGCTTTACCCTGTGGCCAGGGACTGGTAGGGACCCCTGAGGTCAGGCCCTGGGAGGGATGGGGGAAGGCGTCCCTGTTCATTTTCCAAAAGGCACAGGTGTTCACAGCTAATGGCATCTGTTGTAACTCTCTGATAAGAAAACAACCACTTCCCAGAATCACCCCACTTGGGATTTGGAACCGCGCTGTAGGTGTGGGGAATGGCTGCCCACAGCCCTGCCTCCAGCAAGTTTATTGGAACCAACCACAGCGGGGGTGGGGGTGGGGGGGAGGCAGCTTCCTACGTGTGTGGTCACTCTAAGTCTTCCTAAGGAGGCCCAGATAACCTAAAGGCTTGGGGTCACCGACAGGGTGGGGTGCACTTTTGGGATCTTCTGCTCCAGCCCTGGGGGGTGGGGCAACAGGGGGAGCCAAGGAAGGGCCACATCTGTGTGGGTGGCGAGAGAAGGGAGTGACATCATCTCTTAACCTGTCTGGCATCAGGGCCAGCAGATGGGGGAGCGACTCCTGTTCAAGGCCAGAGGTAGGGCATTTTATAAGGCCCCAGAAGGGCCCTTACCCTTTGAGCAGCCCCCGAGGGACCCATTCCCACTCCCCGTTCAAGCAGCTTCATTTCAGAGGCATTCCACTTCCCTGCCTGTCTTTTCCTAACTGGAGAACAGAGGCCAGCCTAAGGCAGGAGAGTCTGGGTTCAGGTTCTTTGGTGGGCAAAGAAAGGGCAAAAATAAATAAACCACACACATTCAGGAAAGAAAATGACGATGAACTCAAGTGACCCACCTGATAGAAAAGTGCTAGGCCCAGAAAAACAGGTGAGCCAGGGTTAGAGTAGGAGAGAGAATGCCCAGGAAGCTACAGTCTCTCTTTGCCACCAGGCATAACCACCCCCCCGAACCCCTCAGTATTTGATCCGTTGAGGGCCAGCTGAAGAAACTTTCCCATGCAGCCACCTATTCCCATAGGCAGGAGGTGAGGGCCAGGGACCTTTGCTGCCATTCTGGAAGCAGCCATCCCCAGAGAGCTCTGAGGCAGTGCCAGGCT